GTAGTAAAAACGTGTCGAAAGATTAAAAATTAAAAAGTTTTTCATTTGGAAATAAAAAAAATTTTAAAATAAAATCATTTCGCGGTTTTTTTTAAATAAAAACAAAATGGCGGCTTCGTTATTTAAAAAAAAAACAAAATGGCGAACTTGTTATAAAAAAAACAAAATGGCGGATTCGTTATAAAAAAAAACAAAATGGTGGCTTTGTTATTTAAAAAAAACAAAATGGTGGATTCGTTATTTTAAAAAAAACAAAATGGCGGATTCGTTATTTTGAAAAAAACAAAATGGCGGCTTTGTTATTTAAAAAAAAACAAAATGGCGGCTTTGTTATTTTAAAAAAAAAAAATGACGGATTCGTTATTTTCTTTTTATACAACGTTTGAAATTAACCCGACAACAACACTAAAAAAAAAAAAATTATTTCACAACAAATACAATCCTCTAACAACTTCAAATTTATTCAAAAGTAATCGTTAGCATTATCATTATTATTATTATCATCATTCGAAATTATTTATCACGTGGGTAGGTTGTAAAAAAAAAAAAAAAAAATTACGCGCGTCGAAAAAAAAACCGTTTGATACTTTTATATATATATATATATATATATATATATTAAATTAATTTGACTTTTAGAAAAAAATAAATTTTTTAAAACCGGAAGTTTAAAACTCTAGAAAACGGAAACGAAAGATCTTTAAAAAAAAAAAAAAAGTAGAGGTAAAAATATCAAATTTCATTTATATATATATATATTTAAAGAAATTTATTTTTATTGATATCAATAATTTTATATACTCGAATCATGTTTAGATAAATTCTATACACGAGTATTATTAAGATTTATTATTATATAAAAAAGGAAAAACTTTCTCTCTCTCTCCTTTTTTCCGCCATTTTTTTTTATTGGCAAAAAAGGAAAAAATACTCGTGGAGTCGTGTGTAATTTATTAAAAATAAATTTTTTTTTTTTATGTTTATCGGCATCACTTGTTGACGAAATACAAAATGGCGGAAATAAAAAAAATTTGTTGTTTTGTTTTTGTTTTACTGATAATATTGATAACGTTTTTGTTTTTGTTTTGTTTACAGGGAATCCCAACGAAAATTGAAATTAAAAAATATGAAAAATTTAATTTGAGAGATTTTGAAAAAGAAAAATGGCGGTCAAAATTTCACTACTCGGACTCGTTTTTGTTGCTCTCGTTTTAGCTCGTAAGTTATTTATTTATTTATTTTTGCATTTATCAACCTTTAATTTTTCATCATCATTATTGTCATTATTATTATTATTTTACAGTATTCATTATAAAAAAATAAATTTACAAAAATTTACCTGGGAAAAATGAGAGAAAAAGGAGAAAAATTTCGTTTAAATTTTATATTTTTTTTAATGATAACCCGATGATTTTA